TTAATTAAACCCAGGAAGTTCAGGGCTTCATTTATTTCATAAAACTGAACAAACCTGAGAAGCTGATTTATCATTCTAGCAAGGAATTCCAATTTTATGCATTGACTGGTACATGCTAAACTTATGCTGATTGTTGTATTATTTTGAGATTTCTTGAAGCTGTTGTCTTAAAATCTTGTGTCAAGTACTTTTAGTCATCTGACCAGAAAGTTCTCTAAGTGAAGGTTGCTGCTGCCTTTGAAAAACTTGAGTTCTCAATGTCATGGTCATACAATTGCAGTCATTGTGAAAGTACTAAATCTTGAGAAAGAAAAATATACTATGTAAAAGGCTCTAGGTTTGACCCTTAGCACTTCATAAAATCGTGTTTTAGCACAAATACCAGCAGTTCCAACAGTTTGGAACTGGTGGCAGGAGGAACACGAGTTAAAGGTCATCTCCTCTTTATATAAAGTTGGAGAACAGCCTGCAATAGACGAGATGTTGCCTCAAAAACAAATACACAAATAAAACAATTATTGACTTTATATTGTTGATGGGAGTACTGCTTATTTTGTCTTAAGGATAAAGATTTGATTCTCAAGGAAGTAAATTAAGAGATAACAAATAAATTTAATTATATTAAGAATTTAAGTTTGAGGCTTGGTTTATCTTGGTAGTAGAATGATTGCTAAGCATGCACCTGACATTGAGCTTGGTCTTCAGCACTGAAAAATAAACAAGCAAGCAACCAAGCAAACATGTTAAAGAACTCAATCTTAAATAAATTTGGGTAGAGGCGGTAGTGCATATTTGTAATCGCAATACTCAGCAATAAGATAACAGAGATAGGATGATTGCTAGTTTGAGGCCAGCCTGAGCTACAAAGTGTGTTCTAGACCAGTCTTAGTTACATAGTAAGATGCTGTCACAAAAAGCAAAGAATGGGGCTGGGAAAGTGGTTCAGATGCTACAGTGGCAAAATTCATGCTCTGCAAGCATAAGGATGTGAAGCGTTGGGACCCATGTAAAAATCTGGGCATGATGGCACATGCTTAAGACTCTAATCCTGGGGAGGCAGAGACAGAGGATCCCTGAAAGTCTCCAAAATTTGTTTTTTCTTTTCCATTGACCACACATTTGAGAACTACTGGCAATCATTTTCATTTAAGACTAGATAGCAGGGTAAGATTTTTTTTCAATTATTTCTATGTGTTAAATGCATGTTTTTGACTCCTAATACTTTTTCCTGATTCACAATTTATTTATTGTATTTTCTGTATGAGAGGGGGCCATGGTTAATCCAGAATCCCTGAATTCCAGTGAACTTCAAAGTGAGGCATTGGTGTAACCCCCTAACCAGTAGGATGGACACCGTGTGTGCTTTCCAACAGCTTAAAAATCTCTCCTTCCAGAAGCATTGTCTCCACCATTTGATATGATGCTTGAAATGCTTTATTGTAATTCATTTCCCATAGGACTGAATTATTTTCACTCTCCAACGAGTTCTTTATTAAAATGAAGATATGTCTGGAAATTGAACACCTAAAGTTACTTTCTTAACATCAACAAATAGTTTTGAGAGATTCAGAGTGGGATTTGGTAGGCATGGGACAAAGAGGAGGGCTCACACTAAAAAATAAACAGCAGAAGAACAGGAGAAAGAAAGGGAATTGGAGATGATGCACACCGAAGACCCACGTACTGAGTCACGTGGGGGGATACCACTGTGGAAACAGGACCAAAATTAAGGAAGGCAGCACAATGAGTTTCAAATATCTATCGGACTGACATGCTTGTCACACCTCTGAAGCAAGTGAGGTTTCTTGTTCAAATAAAGATTAGACAGCTTCATGCTGTATCTCTTTACTTCATGATGAGTATCCTACAGATGGTAAGTACTCCAATGGCCGTTTCTGTGTGTTTTCTTCAGTCCCCTTAAGTATCTAGACCACAGTGGTAGACGGGTGATGCAGACTCACAGCTGGTCAAAGTGCTGAGAACAGATGACTGCTGAGTGCTCAACCCTAAACAGGAAGTCTATGCCAGCTCCCTCAACCCCGATTTCATGGTACATGGCTGAAGAGGAGGCAGAAAGAATGTAAGTGCTAAGGATGGAAGCGAATTGTAGGAGATGAAGCTTTCCTTAGATGTCCTTGGTGATTGCTTAGAGTGCTCGGGAAAAGATTTTCCTGGAAACCACATGGGTATGGGTGGTTCTTTTTTTTTTTTTTTCAATACAAGTCTTTTATTGTCCCAAAATACACCCCAAATCGCATTAACATTCAGGATCTTGTTTCTGGAGCTGGTAACTTAGGTCTTACTCATCAGCCTGCTGCACTGTTCCCTTTTCAGACACATAGATACCATCCAAAAACTTTCTGATATCCTTGTTTTTTAACTGTCGTGGCTTGCTGTATCAGAGCCGCCGAGTTTGAAACAAGCTCAATATCATTTCCTTCAAGGATTAATTCATCCTTCTGGGCTTGAGAGACAGAACAAGCAACGCCTGTCCTCATCCGAACCCTGCGGATGTATTTTTCACCCAAGAAGTTTCGGATTTCAACCAAAGACCCATTCTACTGAATAACGACGTTGATGGGGAAGTGAGCATACATGGACCTCATCTTGTAGCGGAAGCCCAGTGTAACACCCTTGATCATGTTTTGAACGTGGCTGCAGATGGTTCTGACGGTGGCCAGTTCCTTCCTGTTGCCCCACCATTTGTCAACCCGGAGCCTCTTCTTCTTCTTCCCAAGAAGGCTCAACTCTACATTGATGTGATTGAAGTCCCTCCGGAGGGTTCCTCTGGGGCCCTTCACAATGACTGTGCGCCCCTTCAGAGTTATGTCCACATTTTCTGGAATGTCGACCGTCTGATTGCTGAGAATGGTCTTCATTCTCGCAGTAGATGGGGCAAAGAGGTGGTGGTTCTTTTTCTTAAACAATTAGAACCACCAATTCTCTGAACACTGTAGAGTTAAAACAATAGGCCCAGACAGAATTAAAAAAACAAGATGAAAAAAAAATGTATTGAAACCAATTCCTGAAAAAGAATAAATTAAGTGAGAAGAATGCAATTCCTTGAGTTATGAACTAAAAGTATGTGCACTCCCCTTTCAGAATTTATATTAAACATCTCTATCCCATGTAATGGTATCAGGAGATGAGGCCTTCAGAAAATAATTAAATTTAAGAAAAGGAATCAGATTGATTGTTCATCTGAACTGTCAACTTGACTGTATTAAATGCCTAAGAGAACAATAAAGTACAGCTAGGTGTGTCTATAGTGATGATTCCTTTAAGAATTGTACCCTGAGGGCTCTGATATAATCAAGTTAAATCTAAATGTGCTCATAATATAATATTGTTAGGAGATTGTGGCAGATAGTAAGTGAATACTGGCTTGTGTATGTGAGCCACTGGGGACGTGTGTTGAAATTTTTCTCTACCCTTAAATGGATCCTCTCTTCTCTGAGTCCTTGTGAAATGATCTTCTTCAGCATGTCCTACTTCTCAATATGGGCTAAAACCTCTGAAATCATGAGCCCCTCGATAATCACTCCCTCCACACAATTCCTCCTTTTCATGTAGTCATAGCTGTAAAAGTTAATGATAGTGGACATGTGCTAAAATCTCAGATCCAACATCCTGCACAGTGCTGAACTTCACGTCTACCTCCACGAGAAAGAACAAGACAGGAATGTGTTTTCTCTAAATTTCCATTTACTACTTTACTTAAATCTACACAAGAAATACAGACAATAATAGTTAAGAAAAAATCCTGGATTGGAAATTTCTTTACTTGTAAAGCATATGATCAGGTGCAAGAAACCATTGGAAAACTATTAAATGGCATGCCAGGGCTTCCTGGTAAACATTCAATACACACAAATTTAAGTTTAATTTAGAAGGGAACAACAGGAAAGTCAAAATAGAACTCAAGAAATTCTTATTTACAATAAAATAAAGAAGTATAGAGAAACAACTTTAGAAAAACAACTGAAAGACATTAAGATAAGCATAATTGTTAACTATTATAGCGAAAGATTAACATTTTTAAAAGCATAGATTGGCATCTCATAATTTTGGGCTGGAGGTCACGTGAAAGAAGCCTTTATTTCACAAATTGATTTCCAGACTCAATGCAATTCCTATCAAAATCCAAAGTTTATTTGTAAAACTGGAATTTTATTTAAAATGTATAAGATTTATATGAAAACGCAAGAAATTAAGGACAACCAGTACAATCTTTAAAAAAACAAAGTTGGATATCTTACTCTTGGTGACTGTGCAATGTATTGAATATTTGAAGTAATTAAGAAGGTATGATGGTGGAAGTTGGGCAAACTTAGAACTCAGAGAATTGGAATTTAGTTTTCAGCAAATGGGCTTTTAATTAATTATCAAGTGAGTTTTGACAAGAATATTTAAATTTCAAAAGAAAAGCACAGTTCTTTGAACAGACAATGCTATGAAAACGGAACGGCATATGTGAAAGCATAGCCAGTCTTCCTTAATTCCATCCTTTATAATATAAACTCAAAGTGATTCAGAGACAAAAACATAGGCTTTAACTAAAAGTCTTAAAATGGAGCATATTTTTCCTTCCTTGTGATGAGATTAATTTTTAGATGATATCAAAACTCAAACAGTAAAAGGAGACAGGCCCATTATCATTATTCCACCAAAATTATAAAATTTTGTACCTCAAGAACATTATTAAGAAAATGCAAAGAACTAATTGAGTAGGTAAAGAGAACTGACAGCTGTCTATCTGTAGAAGAAAAATACGTACAGATTATATGGTGACATTTTAGACCTTGGTAACAAAACAGCAACTTTATATGACGGCTGCATAGCAGTAACAAAGTTAAAATGGACTTTAATACACCATGACCTGGAAAGAAGAAATGTGGACAAAGACAGGTTTCTACGAAGACACAAAGAGAAGCTTTCCACCAACAGGGATTAGGTAATAATAGACTCTCCCCGAGGGCCTTGGAATTAACCAGACCTACCGGTATTTTGACACTGGTTGCCAGACTCCAAGTAGGTGAAGTCAGTAAAGTTCTGTTGATTAAGACATCTAGTCTGTGGTACTCTGCTGTGGCAGTCCTAGAAGACAAATGGATCCACTTACAAACAAGTAAACTATATCACTAAGATGTGTCATGAATTGCAACTCATTTATTACAATTTATCTTTTACCAGGTGGCACAAATGAGAACAATTGTTGGTTTAAGAAACTACATGAAGCTTTCATACAAGATTACCAGAGATAAATGATCGTGGTTGATTTACTGCCTGAAGATACTGACTGCCTTAGTTAAGGATTTCTTGCCCCCCAAATCTGTCTTATTGTAAGGCATCATTACAAAGTGAGTTGACAATAGCCCTAGGAGTTTGTAAATATAGTGCTATGATTCATAGCCGGATCAAACCAGGAGCAAATTCCACTTTATGGGGAAATAAGCTTAGAATTGAAGACTGACAACAGCAATAAGCAGCCTTTATGGTGAGATATGATGGATGGAAAGAAAACAACTTTATAAGATTTTATCCACCTAAATAATGTATTTCACTGTTGACTAAGAAAGAGTTTGAGTCTAAGTTAGAGTTTATCATGCTTCTTCTTATTGGCAGGCTAAAGACATCCTACACTTGAGTAAAGGCAAGCGTTCAAATGCCAGATTTACTTATAGAGTGTGGAAAGGTGCTTTGTTTTTATAAAATGATTCGTGGGAGATTTTTGTGTCTCCTGTGTATAGAAATTCTGCGGAGGATAATCTTCCAATAGCCAGCCCTATAACTTATAACTTGCTTGAAATATTTTCTCTGTCTCTGTAATTTTATTTTTAACCCGAGGTCTTGAATTTAACAATAAGCAACAACTTTTTCTTTTCTTTCTCTAAACTATTTGACTTTGAAATTTAGAGTAGATATTGAAATTATATCTGAAATTTATAGCAGAAATATATAATGAAATACATATTTATAGTTGAATGATTGGGAATTCTAGGGCTAATTACATATCTCGCTACTGCATCTAATATACTTTTATTTCAGTTATACTGATAAAGAAGTTAACAAGCATGCATTGAATGGCTAATTCCTCTCATGGCTAATGTAAATTTACATTTAATTTTCATACTGGTTTTCTGAGACATTCAGTATCACTAGACCATTTTATAAATAAAACAACTAATTGAGACTAGTGAACACTCACTATATTTTTACATGGCATAATTGTAATTAAAAGTATGGACAGAATTTAAACTCAGTTTTCTGATATCACTGCCCTTATTTTTCAAATATGCATTGCTTCTAATTAAATATGATTACCTAGCAAGATTCTCACGATGCATACTTTTATGTCTTCTATGTGCATGTATACTTTTGCTTCTTTGGTTTTGGATTAAAAAAGTCATTATATAGTTCATATTCCTTTCTGGAGTGATATCAGCAGAATTGATATGAATTGTAAAGGTATGTGCAGTAACAATGTGTGTTCTGGGTCGTGGGTAGTTCACGACTGATCTTCATCTGCTCACTACTAACTTTGAATTCATCCATCAGAATTTAGAAGTAGGAATTGTTTCTTTGTGATTGACTTTAAAGATACCTCACGAAGTCAAAGGTTTCCAGTTCATTGTTTTCAAAGAACAGTTCTTGTTTCAGTGTCATCAGAGAGACCTTATAGTTTGATAAGACAGGAAGTATTTTAAGTACAAAGGTTGTGATTGAAGTGATAACATAATTATTGAATATTACATTTGGAAGACAGTAAAAATATTTGTGCTTTGATATTGCTATCTTTAGGTTAACTCAGAATATGAAATCTAGAAATATGGACAAATCCTATTATACAAGCTTTGCTCTTGTAAAAAAATGTAAAGATAGAGTGAATTGTATAAAACATACAGAATAAAGAACCACAAAATTTAGATGAGATGGACTTTATGTATAAAACTCACAATAGGAATTATTTCAGACCTTATTTGTTAGTACACTTGTAAGTCCACAATTTAATAGGCTGAGACAGGAAGACAACATTTTTAAGGTCAACCTGGGCTACACAATGAGGTCTTGTCAGTCTTAACTTTATGATGAGACCCTATTTCAACAGCAACAACACAGAAGACAGTCTAAGCATGCCTTTTATTCAAGTGTAAGAAGTAACAACTTTGTTTTATTATTTATTCTCTCATATTTTAGATTCTTACCAGTTTCCAAATCTCATTCTTCTTTATCCAGTCCCCTCACTCCTATTCTTTCCTCCTCTGTTTCTCTTCGGAAAAGGAAAGGCCTTGCAGCTATATCAATCAAACATGGCATATCAAGTTGCAGTAAGACTGGGCACCTTCCCTCATATTAAGGTTGGATAAAGCAACCCAATAGGAGGAAAATGGTCCCTCAAATCAGGAAAAAGTATCAGAAACAGCACCTGCTCCCACTGTTAGCAATCTCACAAGTAAACCAAGATGTATATTGCTGTATAAGTCATAAGTCATAAATACAGCTAGTCATAAATATGGCTCTCTCTCTCTTTCTCTCTCTCATATATATATATATATATATATAATGTTTACTAATGAATAGATATTAAGTATCATGGATTCCTACTGCAAATGACAGTTTGTCAATTTGAGCCCAAATAACATCCACATAACAAACAACATACTCTGTTTCTCAAAGAAAAGCTTAGATTCATTAGAAATGCTCACATTGTCATTTAGATTCACATTTAATGGAAGAAAATGGGTAAAAAGACAGACTACTGACTTAAGAATTGATTGGACCACTATGTGAAAATATTTGCTGATGGAATAAGTACAATGTTTACGCAATCAAAATCTCCTTCATAATTTTGTTTGTAGACAGTTTTTGCAAACTGTGCCATTTTTTGTTAGTGACAATATGAATAGTCACTAACTTATTCTCTAAAAAAGTACTCTTATACTGAGTTGTCCTCAGAGAGAGAAGAATATTAGAAAATATAAGAACTTTTATGTTTTAAAGCTTGTTAGATAATAGAGATTACCCCCAAATAGTACTCTTTTTGGTTTGTTTGTTTGTTCTTTTCTTTCTTTCTTTAGATACAATGTGACACAGGTAAAATAATTTTTCAGACATATAAGACATAATATAACCTAATTATCTAGTTAGCAATGATGACTGTAAGAATAAAATACCAACCAGGCTGTGATATTCATCTAGGTCACTCCCCAGAGATTTTCGACTCCCACTATTACATAGCAAGTTAAACATTCGCTGAAGAATTAGGAAATAACTAGTCCTTACAAATCCACGGAAGCTTCTGAAACATGCAAGATGTTCCCCAAAGGTTATAGACAAGTCGTCAAAATTGCTGCGGTGAAGAGATTCTTTGAGAGCTTAACAGCCTTCAAGTTGTGCGGAGAGCTCAGTGACACAGCCTTTGAGAGTCTACACCCAAGCTAGGGTGGGGTGTTGGTGATAGAGCTGTCTTTGATTGATGGTTTTGTAAGTCACCCCTCACCTACACTCCTATAAGTAAGCCCAATAAACTCACTGATCTATTGGGCTTCATTTGGTCGGTATTATTAATTCAGCCTGTTGTCACTGATCTATCTCGGTTGAATATTCCCACTGATAAAAATCATGTATCATCACTTAATCTAAAATTTTAGATCCCTATAAAGTTTTGTCATAAAAACGGATTCTCCTTGGCTTTTTATTCAAGAGGCGGGAAGTAAAAGCAAGTATTACTTTCCTGCATTATAATCAGTATAATAAGAACCTTTGGTAGATCTTTTTTATTATTTAATTTGCTATTGGTTGAGTCATTTGATAGAATTCAAAGCACTTGTAGAATAACCTCCAGAAAGTACTATAAAAATGTACTTAATAGGTTTTGTTTTCAATGATCCATAGCACAGTTTGGTCAATAAAGTCATATTTGATGGGAACAGAGAGAAATAAGCTGTGATGAGAAATTGTGTAACAACCACCCTGCTTCCCATAACGTTAATGGCAACTGGAATAAGTACAAGGTGGTTCCATTTCTTTGTTTCACTTTTAGAAGTAATGTAGTTTTGTTGCAGTAGGAAAAAATGTCCTATAATATCTCTCAAGATGGGATTATGAACTGAATAGGTTTCAGGGAAGCCAGTGATGTACTGGGCTCTTATCTGGAAAGGACCTTAGTTGATCACATCTTCCAATTCCTTTTAGTTATTTGTCTGAATCCAAAATCACATTTTTTCATTATTTGTGTTGGTATGGGTATTGAGAAGAAAGTTCTGTGGGTACAGGTGTGTGTGTGAGTGTGTGTATGTGTGTGTGCATTTTTGTGTTTGTTCATGTACATGCACACATGTGCGCACTCATACATTTATCAAAAATGAACCTAAGGGATCATTTTTCTGGAAATACCCAACTAGCTGTTGTGCTCTTGTTCCTGTTATTGTTGTTTGTTTCTGGAGAAAAGTAAATATCTCCTTGGCCAGGAGCTCACCAAGGAGTCTTGGCTGTCTGGTCAGTGAGAAACTGAAACCACATGTCTCTGGCTTATAGGTATGGGATTATAAACATAAGTTACCATATCCAGCTTTCATGCATGGATTCCTGAATTCTAAGGCTCATCCTTGGGTCAGCATGCTTACTCAGACTTTACCAGTTTAGTGATTTTTCTAGTACCTCATTTCTCAGTGATTTTGTCAATAAGATCAGATACCAGTTTCTAGAATATGCTCTGACTAGTCCAACATAACCATTCTTCTTTTTTAAGTTTTTAATTTTTTTATTGATTTTTATTGAGCTCTACATTTTTCTCAGGTCCCCTTCCCTGCCTCGTCCCTACCCTTCTCCAACCCTCCCCCAAGGTCCCCATGCTTCCAATTTACTCAAGAGATCTTGTCTTTTTTTACTTCCCAAGTAGGTTAGATCTATGTATGTCTCTCTTAGGGTCCTCATTGTTGTCTAAGTTCTCTGGGATTGTGGTTTGTGGACTTTTTTTGCTTTATTTTTAAAAACCACCTATGAGTGAGTACATGCAATAATTGTTTTTCTGGGTCTGGGTTACCTCACTCAAAATGTTTTCTAGCTCCTTCCATTTTCCTGAAAAATTCAAGATGTTGTTAGTTTTTCTGCTGTTTAGTATTCCATTGTGTAAATAGCATTGTTTGTCCTAGCCAGAACCTGGAAACAACCTAAATGCCCCTTGACCAAAGAATGGATAAGGGAAATGTGGTACATTATCATTCTCTAGGCATTTACCTCAACAGTCATGTAATCATCTGATTTGCAAAGTAGATGTGACCCAGCCATAAGACGAGAGGAGTGAAGTCTTCACATTGATGCAGTTTCACGTACTAATCATCTGAAGCATCCCCGTTTGAATAATGCCAAGATTGTTGTGAAACCATATCAATTTGGATTTTCTTTCTGTTTGCAGTCACCGCCATGCCACCTTCTGGCAGAGTCCTAATGAACCATGAAGTGAGTCATGAGAGGAACTAGAAGAAGTTAAACTAAACAGTAGATAACTGAAGATTTTTAATTTTTGTTGCTTCCTTCTTTTCTCACAAGTGACTGATATCTCACAGCTGCCTAAAGAACTGCAGCATGTGTGGGAGTGTCCAGAGGAGAATGACTTGTCAGTGAGCTTCCAGCTCTTAAAAGTCTGTCATGTCAAAGACACATGTAAGGAGCAAAGTGCAAGCATCAGAATGGCACATGCATTCTATTGACATGAGCAATTCAGAACAAACAACAGATTCTTAATTTGTCTTTAATTCCCAAAGACTACATCATTGAAAGCAAGTATGTAACTTATTAGAGTGTTTTCCCTCAGTCCAGGGTCAGTCTTAGAACTCAAACCCCAAATCTCTGAGACAGAATGATAGCTACTTAGATATTACCTTTAACAAAGAGCATCCACTCCTCACCTGATCGTAATGCTTGTGCTTAGGGAGCTTTCCTTCTCAAATAACCAGATATATAAAATGTTGAGCAACTGAATAAAAATACAATCATCAACTCTATATTATTCATGACTGCACTACTATTATCCAAAGCCGCAAAGACGCATGTGTGACACCTGCAGTTGTACTACACATGAGCTTTAAGAATGAATTTGCCAAAATTAATTAATTGCTAAACGACCATGTTTGTCTCTAAGAGTTTAGAAACCCTTCAAATTTTATTAAAATAATTTTGTCTGATGTGGCTTTCCCTGCCCCACTGTCGTTTCCTTTCGGGCATTTGAAAATCCTTCCATATACATGGAGCAGCACTTAGAAAAATAGACTAAAGTTTTCAGTTTTGCTTTCAGATGACAGCACTGTGCATCAGTGAGCTGCTGAGTGATGGAATAAAGTCTCTGAAAGCTGAAATGGGAGGCTAAATGCAGCGAGCATGAAGTTTCTGTAAGGGTGCAATTCAGAGCTGCAGAAAGTGGAAACTGTGTGGTGTGACAAGCTCTCTCTGAGCTTGAGGAAGGCGCATTCAATGATATTGTGTTGCTGGGAGCTCTTGCATATCTCTTATTTTATTATGTGATGAACGTGATGCATGCTGCAAATGCATGCATATTTTTGGCCTGTGGTACTTGCAGTGCAAGTCACAAAACACATCAGACTAGAAATTCATTATAATTCTCTGGGTTTCAGCTACTTGAAGGAACAGAGAAGGTGGTTCTATGGATAAAGGGCTTTCAGCACAAACATGAAAACTGGAGTTTGGATCCCCAGAGCCAATGTAAATTCTGAGTAGGTGAAAGCAGATTTCTTTCAATAATGACACTAGGTAACTAAGACAAAAGACTTCCAGGACAAGTTGGCACCTAGGATAGTCAAATAAGCCAGCTCTTGCTTTGGCTGAGAGAATATGCATCAAAGAATGAATTGAAGCATGATTAAGTAAAACTACATGTGCTAGTCTTAGGTCTACACACACACACAAGTACTCCCACACACTAGTGAATTCATACACACATGGACATGCATACCTCATTCACATGCGACACACATAAATATTTTAAGTTCAATAATATCACCTCTTACAAGGAGTATTTTAATGCTAATTTTATAGCAGAATATTTCTTTCAAAGGCAAATCTACAGTAAACATTTTCTAAATATAAAAAGCCCACTTTGTACACAAAAGAAAATTTATACTATTCTTCTTCTCCAGAAGCTTTCTCATAAGAGGACTTCTAAGTCCCTACTCATCAATATCAATGCCTCTCTTTTTTATAACCTTAAGAGATACCTAAAGCTTTGTTTCAATGCCCATCAACCCTGAAAACTCACTGCTGTGATGTGGTCACTCATTCTGAATAGAGGTTAGTTTAAATTTTAAATGCTTTTACTTCTTCTGAGTCAAAATCTGCTTCCTGGAAAGAAGGTATGCTTCAACATGGAATAGTGTTTACTGTGTAAATGTGAGAATCAGAGATTGTAACCATCGGTCCCTATAAGCCAAGTTGTCACCAGTTGCCTTAGGGTTTTTATCGCTGTGAAATACACCATGATCATGCAACCTTATAAAGAAAACTTTTAAGTGGGGTAACTTGTTTACAGTTTTAAGTTTTGGTCCATTATCATCATGACAGATAGTATGGTTGCCTGCAAGAAGACGTGGTGATGGAGTAGTAGTTGCGACAATAGGAAGTCGACTGAGACAGTGGGCTACAGTATCCTAAGCATAGGAAACCTCAAAGCCTGCTCCCTCAGTGACACACTTCCTCTAACAAGGCCATACCCTCTCCAACAAAGTCACACATCCTAAAAGTGCTGCTCCCTATGAGATTATGGGTTCACTTACATCCAAACTACCAAACCAGTGGAGGAAAAGAGTATTGATAAAGCTCGCTGCTCAGCTAGTCTAGCTTCAGATACAGTAAGATACCCTGCCTCCAGTCATTAAGCCACACAATCTACAAGAGCTAGTTCCAGGACAAAGTCCAAAGTTATAGAGAAACCCTGTCTCAAAAAAAACAGAAAGAAAAAAATGTAAATGCAGAAGCCACTGGGAAAAGTACTAATAGGGACAAAATGAAACTGTTACTCTATCAGAGAAATGTAAAGCCACCAGGAGAAATAAACTATCACACTCTCAGGTATATTTAGGACATGCTCTTGGCAAATTCTGATGGAGACAAAGGGAAAGACACAAATAACACAACTTTGTATAACACCAACACACTCTGCACACAAAATGAGTAACATGGACAACTTGGCTGATGAATTACACTTAAGGATATCTATAAATTTACACACAACAAAGACAAAAAGATATTTTTTCCAAGACTTGTCTCATTAAGCAACAATCAAACGCCCCTTACCTGACTGGCTTCTAATGACAAAGCCTCCAGTTGTCCTTCAAGTCTCATTTTATCTTTGAGAATCTATAACATTTCATCTTGTGTTTCACAAAGAGAACTCTCCATGGACATACTAGGAGTCAGAAGTATAAAATCAGGAGATGAGAATATAATAGTTGTTAATCCGTTATCCTTCTTCATATTGTCCAATTTCTACACACCCCTTTGCTTCTCCTGTTTTCTGGATCTTTTGGTTTTGTTTTGATTTTGATTTTTTTTAAAAGATAGAGTCCTTCTATTATGTAGGAAATATACAAGTCCTCTGTAACCTAAAACTCCCTATGTAATCTAGACTGATCCTGCCTCCGTCTCCTAAGTGCTTCGATCATGGGTATGCATCACTAACACCCACTTCCTCCCAGATTTTAAAATAAACAAGTAAAAAGCCAAAAAAGTCACACAGTTATAGAGAAGGACATATAGAATTGAACTCCATATTCTATGTACACATATAGGCAGGAGCAATCACACACCTTTGAGCATATACCCCACAAACACACACATGAAGAAATGTGTGTGTGTGCATGCACATTCCTTTAATTACCAATTTCCTTACACTTTTTCTCATATCACAAACACAAATACTAATCCCATCAGCTCATCTTAATAAGAGCTCATTAATCATATAACAGCAGAGATGATGGCTAATACTATATATATATATATATATATATATATATATATATAAAATTTTCAACACATTTAAGAAAGCATTGAAGCCACTAAGTTTGTGATAGGTCACATTCATTTTCTTGATATATCAGGTATATATGTTCTGTGTATTGTAAGCTATAATAACTATGAGTAGATAATATTATAATTTGTACGTTTAAGGTTTACATAAACCAAGTAAATGCATCATAGTTATACACTAAGAGGGAAAGAAGAAATTTAAATCTTATTTGCTTTTAAAATCAACATTATCTCATTTTAATTTGCATATGGTTAAATTTATCCATTTCAGTCATTTTGATGACTTTTGCATATATGTATATATGTTTATAAAATTTAAGTTTACCTTTACCTCATATATTATTCTTTACAGCAAATTATCATACTCAATATTCTTAGTAAGTACTCATATACCTTAATTTTCTGTTGTATACTTCATATATAGATAAATGAAATCAATATGCACTTATCTCAGTATGTTTGGTATTTCTGAACAGAATACAACAGACTAGGTAATTTAAAAAGAAAAGCACTACATGCTCATATTGAAATATCACATTGAACCTCATTAGTATGTATAATTAATGCATACTAATTAAAAAGTTATATTTCCAGCATTTTGTGCAATGAAAGACAATTTTAAAAATGTTATTTTAAAACATCAATGAACATTTTTCAACTTAATACGTTCAACACCATGTTTTGAAATGCAGTTGAATACTAATTCTCCTTTGAAAGGATACAGGAAAAAATGTATATGGCCTTTCTCATAACACATATAAATGCATCAAGTAATGTTGCTTGCTTGTGATGTCTTCATGATAAAATGTCTTTGATGTTGAAGAAAACCTAATGAGAAATTAATCCTTCCCATTCTGGACACCAAAACCTTTAAGACAAGGTGAAGACATCACTGATAAGTACTTTTGCTTCATCTTAACATGGTGGAGTACATTATAGGTCTAGAGCAGGGATTTACCAAATTTCATCAGGACTTCAGTCCCACCATAAGTAAGCTGTTCTCTTGATGTCCTTAACACATCTGTGAGAGAAGACCTCTCAAGGCTCTTTCCTTTATCAACCCTTTCCCATAGAAGATTGTGTGGACACACTCCATATACATTCTTAGCCTCTGAGGAACATTCAAATTCAAAGAACTCACAGAAGTTCTTTTATGTGTGTGTGTGTGTGTGTGTGTGTGTGTATTTAGACATGATACTTGATGTTCATATCCTATCAAAACTTATTTTTCATGGTTGTTGGTTAAATACTTAGGGGTAAAATGTGCGGTCACAGGATACTTGTATTGTAAGTTTGGTTTTGTTATCAGAAGGTAACTCTGTCTACAAAGTGGTTATACCATATTGAAGGTTCACTTGTTTCCCTTCTCCTGAATAATATACGGTCAGCCATATTCCTTTAAAATAAATTGCATTTGTGTGTGTGGTCATACAATACTTGTGTATGTACATCTGCATATTTGTGTATGTGTGTTGCATGTATGGATAAGGAAGCCTGGGTTTGAGAGCATGTAACCTGCGTATGTGTGTGGAGACCACAGCCTGGCGTTGACTTTCTTTCTTTATTCTGTTTCACCCTGTTGTGTTTTTTTCTTTTCAATTCAGCTGGATTGACTAACCAGCAGCTCATTCAAAATCTGCCTTCCTCTGCCTTTACAGTGCTGGAATTACAGGTGCACATCATACAAGGGTCTTGGGGAACAAAATTCAGGAACTAATTCTTAGGTAACAGGCATTTTTACCCACTGAGCAATCTGCCCAGGCCCTGCATTTTAATTTTACTTTCTCTAGTTACTAATGAAGTTGAATTTACCACCCTAAGGGCATTTTCTTCTCTTATTGGTAAATTCTTGCTCAAATATTACCTCAGTTTTTCTGAGATCCGTATATAATAATAGCAATGACCACTATTACGGAGTGAAATTGCTGTCTGTGTGTGCTTAGAGGCTTATCATATCTCTATTGTGCAAATGTTTCCTCCCAGTCTGGACTCTGCTTTTGAATTTTCTCTGTAAATGATGCTTTTTATTTTTAAACCCAACTTGTATTTTCAATTCTTTCACAAGTTTTACTTCTTATTTCATTTTTGAAGTAGAAGTTTTAAAGGTTTATCTCATATATTTAGAACCCTAAGTCCGTCATAAGTCATCTCTGCTGTGAGATAAGGCCACTGTTTTTCCTTCCTTGCTTGTCTTCATCCAGATAAAGCACCATGTATTAAAACACATTTTAGTGATAAAGCTATCTTTTACTCATTGTGTGTCAAAGGATTTGTGTATTTGTTCTGTTTATTCCACTAAATAATATCTAGACATAGAATAGATTATTTTAACTATTTGACTTTTTATAGTTATTACTAATCTTGAATTCAAATCATGTGTATCTTCCAATTTTCTTTTCACTTTTTATAGCCTGGAATTTTGTATTTATTTAAATTTAAAATAAAGATGTCAAATTGTGAATCAATTGAAAAGGAAATTGATTGAGATGACATTGAATCTATGGACCAGTTTAAGTCTTCTAATCTATGAAATAATGCATGTATCCTTTTATTATTTAGAGAGTTATTATTTACTTATAACAATGTTTACTGAAGTTCTGTATATTGATCCTATATACATTTGTTACATTCATTCATGTGACCCATTCTTAAGCATCAGAACTATAGTCTAACACATTATAATCAAATCTTCACCTTCAAGCCCTATTTTCAGCCTATGTATTTCAATGCTTTGAAAAAATGCAAATTACTTTTGAAATTTCGGCATCTAACTGATTATTTTTAAGAGAATAGTTAGTTAAGGCTTAAATGTGAAATGTCTCACATGGACCCAGAAGCAATGGAGTCAAATGAGCCTGTACTACAGTGGTTCTCAATCTGTGGGTCATGGCCCCTTTGGTGTTGAAAGACCCTTTAACAGAGGTCACATATCAGATATCCTGCATATCAGATATTTACATTATGATTCATAGCAATAGAAAAATTACAGCTATTATGCAGCCACAAAATAATTCTATGGTTGGGGGTCACCATAATATGAAAAACTGTATTAAAGGGTCATTAGGAAGCATTAGGAAGGTTGAGAATCACTGCTGTAGTACAATGTCTAAAATCATTAACCAAAATTTAAAAAAAATACCCCAGAAACTGTACTGATAAGTTTTATGTCTCTAACAACAACAACAACAACAACAACAACAACAACAACAACAACAACAATAATAATAATAATAATAATAATAATAATCATGAGAAGAAGAAGAAGAGAGAGAGAGACTCCCTTGGCTACTAAGGGCTACTAACATCTTTATCTTGCTTACCTCTAAGTTTGCATCAATAATATGAATAAAGTCCAAATTCTATAGTAAATTTTTGTATTTTTAATTTTCACCTGATGGTGAGACCTGAAGCTTTGTACTTGTCCTTTGCCAAGTCCCATGGCAAACCTTTCAGAACTTTAAAGCACTTAACATTGTCAGTGGTGCAATTCTCACAGCCAATACCGTAGGTTCAAGAAGCTCTCAATCACTGATAATTTTGTAGATCTTGCAACAACAAAAGGCAGTCATGAACTCTTCTCACAGTGTCTGTGAGTCAGAGATTCAGCTGGGACTTAATTACCTTCACTCTGAGATCTGCTATAAACCTACAGTAAAGCAGTGGTTATGAAGACTTGATTAGATAGAAAATAAATCAAATAAGTTATGTATTCCTAAAATATAGAGATAGGGCGGACTCAGAATAAATATTCTTATCCCAAGAAAAGATAGACAAAAGAAAAAAATGGAAAAAAAATTTCAAGTGTAGCCAGAATGGAAAGCAAATATTGTACCTTGGAATTGAGAAACATTTTTTAACCTCCTCTTCTACTTTCCAGATAGAATAAGATAGGGATGGAATCTTCAGGGATCCCACGTGGCTCTGTTATTCTTTGATAATGTAGGCAGTGCCCCACCCCATATCTCATTTATTAGATATGTCGTCAGGGGCCTCACCTTTCCACTGGACCTTGCCCCAGTTGAGAATATGTACAGTGTCTCTCCTGCATAGCTATCCTGGGCCTTGTTCTCATCTGAATTTTTAGTCATTGCATTGTCTCTGTGAATGCTCTCTGTCTAAGCCAAGATGCTTAGGGGAACATCCTCAGCACTCTGTATGGAGAAAGTTAGACTTTTGATGATTTTGGACTTTGCATACCCATGGAAAGAACATTGCAGAGATATTGCTATGATTTATCACTGTGTCCTACTAGAGCCCTATTGAGTTGAGGCACCACTACAGTGCTCAAGGATTGTCTATCTGGATGTAGGGAGGAGAGCACCAAGGTCACCTCAGGCAGAAAACACTGAGGTCCTATGAATACCAAGGCACCTTTTTCTG